CAGCTTTCAGGGATATAAGATCCTCTAGAAGAGCTGGCAGTAGGCCAAGGCAAACAGGGAACCACCCAACACACACTTCAGGTTGCAGGAAGCCCCTCTCCCAAGGCCACCTTGACCTAAGTGACAAAGAGCTGACTTGGTATCAGCCTGGGGCTCTGGCTGGCCCCCCTTTCACATCACCCCCTCTGGGTGGCCAGTGCAGCTTGCCACCCCCACCCACCCAGACTCCAGGTCCCAGCAGGAGGAGGGGCTCTGGAACAGGTCTGCTTCTGTGCCTGGCCTCCCAGTGTACTCCCCACACCCCTGAGCCTCCAGGCAGCATCGGAGACCCCCAAGATCCAAGATCCTCTCAGGCTAGGACCGGGGTCTCCATTTAATCCCAGCCCTGTCCTATAATGCCTCTAGAAATGAATAACAGTAATAAACCACAGGCCTGGCTTCCCCATTAGGCACAGGATATTTACAGAGGCCCATGAAAATGATTTTCTTTTTTTTTATTTATTTATTTGAGAGAGAGACAGTGTGTGTGTGTGTGTGTGTGTGTGTGTGTGTGTGTGTGTGTGTGTGAGAGAGAGAGAGAGAGAGAGAGAGAGCATGAGCAGGGGAGAAGGGCAGAGGGAGAGGGAGAAGCAGATTCCCCACTCAGCAGGGAGCCTGATGCAGGGCTAAATCCCAGGACCCTGAGATCATGACCTGAGCTGAAGGCAGACATAACCAATTGACCCACCCAGGCACCCTGTTTTGATTTCTGTTAAAGTCAGAAGGAATAAAAGTGAACTTTTAAATCAAGGAGAATGCTCTAATATATAACATCAACATATCCATCTTTATCCTAATACAGTCATAAGACTGTAAGACTTTAATCTATTTTTTTTCTTAAAGGAAGGGGCCCACAAAGCCTGGCATGTGGCCGGGCAAATGTGCCTTTGGATGTTACCTGGGTACTGGCTGCATGCAATCACCAAACAGCCCAGAGAGGGAAGTGCTCTGTTTTGCTCTCTCTGCAGGTGGGGACTCTGAGGCACAGAGGGTTCAGTAACCTCCCTACGCCTCACAGCTGATAGGCAGAGGGTCTAGTACTCAAATCCACCTGCTCTAACAGCCCTTGGGGGGGGTGGGCATTGCGTTGACTTTTCTGACCACCCTAGATGCCAGGCACAGCCCTGGGCTCCATCCAAGCAGTGGTTGAATAAAATTCCTGGAACAAGGCAACAGGCTTTTGTCAACAGCCGTCCCATGGACCTGTTGTTTCCTTATGGAGAGAGAAGGGAAGGGCAGGTGGTTCTCTTGGCCATGTGCTTTGTGGGGGTCCATGAGATAATAAAAGATAAGGTTAAGCACCCACTAAGCACTGGCACAATGTAGACGCTCGTGTGGGGTATTTCACTGACTTCTCCCCATAATCCTCAAAGTAAGTTCATTATGATTATCCCCTTTTTACCAAGGAGGGGACAGGCTTTAGAAAATGTCCAAGGTCACACAGCAAGCAAGTGTAAGCAGTAGGCTTAGAACCCTGCTCTGTCTGACTCAGCGCCCATTGTCTGAATCACTACAGGGTCGAGGTGGCTGGGAAGGAGGGAAGCGGCGGCCCAAGCTGACACCACACAACAGCCTTAGACCAGGGCCACCCCCTCCTCTCCTCTCCACAGCTCTGCCCTATCCCTTTGCAATAACCTACTGACGCATAACAAATTCTTCCTGAATTTAGCTGCATAAAACAACAAAATTGTTACCATCTCACCATTTCTGTTTGTCAGGAATCCAGGAACAGTTGGTCTGGGTGGTTCTGGCTCAGGGTCTCACATGGGGTTGGAGTCAAGATGTTAGCCAGGGGTGTGATCATCTGAAGGCTTGACTGGGGCCGGAGGAGCCACCCCGTTCACTCCCAGGCCTGGCAAGTTAGTGCTGGCAGGTTCCTGGAGGCCTCAGCTACTCACCATGTGACCTCGCCGTACGGCTACTTGTGTGCCCTCGTAACATGACAGCTGACATCCCCCAGAGCAAGTGACCTCAGAGAGAGCAAGGTAGAAGGCTCAACGTCTTTTACAACCAACCTTTGGAGGTCACACACCATCATTTCCCCAATTTCTTATTGGTTTCGAGGGTCAGCCCCATACAGTGCAGGAGGGGCTTGGAAGGGTGTGAAAACCAGCTGGCTGCCACAGCACTCACGTGAGGGTCCTATCTTCATTCTCAGCCTCCCGGGACAGAGAGAAGAGCTTCACGTTCTGGAGGTCCAGTAGCAACAAGATACTTGCTCATCTCCCAAATCCTTTCTGCTTGGGGCTAGGCAAGTAAACGTTGACCCTAAGAGAGAAAAGGGTCCCTCCAGCTGCCCCTGACAGCCAGGAGGGTGATCCAGAGGGTGGCAGCAGCAGCCGCACAGGCAGGGACAAACATACCACCATGAGGCCAGATTGGGTGCACCTCACTGCTGACTTGGCTACCCCTTCTGGGTGCCAGCACAATGCCCTCCACCTGAGCCAGGCAGTCCAGAACAAGTCTTTGGAAGCAGACGGCCTAAGTTCAAGTGCAGGGAGAGAACCAAGACTGGAGAAGAGTGTTACAGAGCCCATCACCCCACAAGACTTGCTTAGCACCCTCTTAAACCTCAGCCGCCCTCCCCATCAAAGTTCTCTACCTGAACTCAGGCCATCTCTTACCCTCTCAGCCCTGTGCTGAGGCTTTCCCTCACATGTCCTCTCTCGACCACCTCTTATCTCCCTACCATCACCATTTTCTCCCACCCCTGCAGAACCACTACTATTCCAAAAGGCACCTTTGTGAAAATTAGAAAAAGATGTCTCCTTCCTCAAGTCACTTGCCTGCCATCTGCTGGAAAATTGTCTTAATACATATACAAACCCATAACAGGAATATATGCTGCCCTCATGCAGTATACAACCTGTTCAACTGTACACAGCAGCTCTTCACCCAGCATCTGAATCCCTTCCTCATTCCTGTACAGCAGTGATCTCCCTAATTAATACTTATAGCTAAACTTTATTAAGTGCTTACTTTGCACTGTGGACAATGCTAAGTCCTCTCTATGCATTAGTTCATTTAATCCTTACAACCCCCCACTCTAAGAAGTAAGGATCATCATTACCCCCATTTTATAGGTGAAGCAAGTAAAATGGAAAGAAATTAAATATCTTTCTCTGGTCACCCAACAAGAAAATATTAGAGTCACAATCTGAACTCAGGCCCATCTCCAGAAATCAAACTCTTAGCTGCCAACTTCCAGCACTCTAGCCCCACCCCCATCACCCAGCTGAGCCCCACAAGGCCTAATTTCCAATAAGTTCAGCCAATTCTTTCCTCTCAGGAACTGGAGGAGGCAGAGAAGCTCACTAAGCATTATAAGTTAGGATAATCTTTCCTGTCCCAATGGTTTGTCAAATGATGGAATGAATGAAGTCTTTTCCATTCCAGTGCAGCTAAAAGGTGTTCAGGAAAAGCGGGCCCAGGACCCCCAGCTGCAGTGGCTGAGCCTGCATGTGGGGAAGCTGGTGGAAAAGTTAGTGCCTCTCCTTCACAGATCCATCTTCTACCTCAAGCTGAGTGACCCCAACTACCTAAGAGGTAATACCAGGGGGTAGAGTCCCATTACTTCAGGAACACAGCATCTGGGGGCACTCCTACCGGTGAATGGTGGGGCGGAGTGGGGGGTGGCAGGGAGTAGGAAACGTGCCTCTCCTTGTTCAGCTCACCCCAGGCTTGGGAGCCTTCATCCTAGACCAGAGGGGAGGGTCTGGTCTGTCCCAGAGAGTGGGATATCTCAAAAGTAATTCAGCCCTTTGCACACCAAATATAGCATCCTGCTAGCCTCTCATTGATCCACCTCATAAGCCTGGCGTGAATCATTCCTGAGGGTGGTAGAGGGGGGCGACTTACAAAACCAGCCCTTCATGCTTGTCCAGCCTCCTAGACTCTCAGCTTCCAGTCAGGTGTGTGGGAGTGAATGGGGAGATGATTAGCCAGCACACCCTTCCTTCTCAGCAATAGCCAGGCTGCACATGACCACACCCCAGCCCTCTCTACCTCTGATCTCCAGGTGCCCCATTCTCTCCCAGGCCTGGCCTTTAAGACCATCCCAACCTGTGTCACCCTAAAAGAAGCCCCTTGGCATCTGTTTTTGTTTTTAAGATTTTATTTATTTATTTATTTATTTGAGAGAGAAAGCATGAGATGTGGGGAGGGGCAGAGGAAGAGGGAGAGGGAGAAGCAGACTCCCCGCCTAGCAGGGAGCCAGACTCCAGGCTCGATCCCAGGACCTTGGGATCATGACCTGAGCCGAAGGCAGAAGCTTAACCGACTGAGCCACCCAGGCACCCCAATTCCTACTGATTTAAAAAAAAAATTTTTTTTTAGAAGAGGAGCTTCCTGAGTGTTTCAAACATAATGTGCAACCAGCAGGCAAGGCTCAGAGTCCTGAGCAGGCTTGTGTGTGGTCAGGGCTACCTGGGCAGGGACACCCAATTCCTGGGCTTGGGCTGCAAGAGCCTGGGTGCAGTTAGGCAAGGCATGGCCCACTGCTCCTGGGTGTTTTCCCCTCACCCCACCTCTCTACCAGAGTTCCAGCCAATCATCCAACCTGGGTTTTGGAAGCTTCCGCATGCCTGGACCAGCACAGATGCTTCCATAGTCTACCCCACGTTTGAACCACAGGACTCCTTCTCAGAGGAACGCAGTGACTCGTGTCTGGTGCAGCTGCTGGGAACAGGGTGGGCCCCCTGCACTTGCCCCGCTTCCCAAAAGCCCAAAACCACTTGCTCCCTGCTTGTCCTCCTGTCCCACCTGCTCTCCAAGTCCCTGTGTGAAACCAGGCACAGCCACCACCCCCCTAGCCAACCAGACACCAACCTCTCCCACCCTCATTGCACCTAAGCTGCCCCCCACTCCCCAAACATCCACCCCATTCCCTGCACCTCCCCCCCCCGCACCCCATTGGTCTCTCACACCAAAGGGATCCTTTCAAAAAACATATCTGGGTCCAGGTCGAAAATGGCGGCGGCGTCTGTGTCTCGGCTGTCTGGGCTGCTAGGTCGGTCCGGGGCACAGCTGGGGCGTTCCATGTCGAGTGGCGCCCACGGCAAGGAGGGCTCAGCTCGCATGTGGAAGGCTCTCACCTACTTCATAGCGCTCCCTGGCGTGGGTGTGAGCATGCTGAATGTCTTCCTGAAGTCGCGTCACAGAGAGCACGAGAGACCCGAGTTCGTCGCCTACCCCCATCTCCGCATCAGGTCCAAGCCCTTTCCCTGGGGAGATGGTAATCATACTCTATTCCATAACTCTCACGTGAATCCACTTCCAACCGGCTATGAAGACGAATAGAGAGAACCTGGACCACCACCCAGTGGGGACCACAGCACTGGTTTGGACCATGACTCTGCACACAGACCAAGAAGTCTATGGGACCTTAAGCTCACCTTCCTTACTTGTATCAAATGATGACCAGTATACTGATCTTCCATCCCTTTGCTTATGGCAGGAGATGGCTTAAATAAATAACTTAGATTGGTCCAAAAAAAAAAAAAAAACCATATCTGAACATCCCTCCCCCAGTGTGAAGCTTCCTGTTGTTCTCAGAACAAAGCCCCAGCTCCTGCTGCCCTTCCAGGTCTCCAGGCCCCTCTAAACCAGCCCCTGGGGCTCTTGTCAGACTCCCAAAAGGACCTACTCTGTCCCACTTCTAAACCTTTTCTGTGCCCGGCTGGCATTTGTGGGCCTCCTCCCACACTGCCCCACCCCACCCCCCGCCTAAGTAACCCTGCTTACACTTCAGGGCCACCTCCAGCATCCTTCCTCCAGAACCTTCCCTGACCCCACTGCACAAGGCTGACCTCCCAGAATAGGTGGGCTCTCCTAGCACCACTGGTAGCCATAGATACAATTTACATTTGTCTAGGGTTCTGCCTCCCTCCCTGGGCTGTAGGTCTCTGCAAGCAGGAGTAGAGCCTAGTTAAGTTCACCATTTCATCCTGCTGTGCAGTAGGCTTGGAGCCAGGCCTGAATCAGCCCTAGGTTCAGAGAACTGCTGTACAGGGCAGTGACGGGAAAGACCGTACTTGGGAGTCCCACGTCACAGCCCACTGGAGCTCACCCAACCCAGGATAACTCCAGGGTCACCTCCCCTGTGCTGGGGTACTGATTTAGCAAATCAAGACACAGTACACCTGTGTGCTATCCAGCAACCCCTTGTGCAGCTGGGTGCCTGGAACCTACTGGGGTTCTAATAACTAGTGGGGGAACGGGGACCAGGGAAGACTCCCTGTCCTCAGGCTTCCTTTAGGGCACCCTTCTCTAGGGCCTGAACCGCTTCTTCCCCAGGACAGCCAGCCAGCCCTGCAGGCTCTCAGACTTCTGCAGGACCCTCATGACCAAGCCCGGCTGCTCAGGCTACTGCTTGTCCCACCAGTTGCTCTTCTTCCTCTTTGCCAGAATGGTAAGTGCCCGGCGTGGGCCAGCCATGCACATAGAGGAGAGAGAAAGAGAAAAAGGGGCTTGTGGCAGTGTGGTTTGTATGCTACACACCAGGAAAATAAGCAGGGTTTTGGACTTATGCTTTGGACATCAGGAGGGAGAAGAGTAGCCTGCCATCTCTCCGATATAACATTGAACCAAACTAGGGGTGGGGGGGGCAGGATTTGGGATTCTCGTTGGACAGATCGAATTGCATGCTAAACTAGGTCGTAGGCATCAGGAAAACAAAGAGAAAGAGTAAAAGAGAAGCAGCAGAAAGAACTCAGTAAACAATAACAAATGGAAAAGGATTTAGAACATCTGGTCCATCAGCAGCTTCTAGAAAACCAAACCAAGACAAACCAGCCCCACACCCACCTCTGCAGCACCCAATGCTCTTCCAAGCCCAAGAGCTCAAATTTCACTAAATAATGATAATTTTTAAACATATGTGTTTCCCCATATAGAAAGGTAAGGCTCATTATCTCCATTGAAAGAGGTTATTCCATGTGCGGAAATTCTTAGCTGAGTACTTAATGTTTTAGGTAAGTTTTTTAAAAAAAAATTATTTATTTGCAAGCTGTCACTATCCAGTATTTCTGTAAATAGAATAAAAATCAAATTATGAGGAAAATTATTTTATTAGATTCGACAGGTAGAAAGCTACACATTGTTACAGAAATTGCCAAAGCCCCTTCTCATCTCCTGTCCTGTCCCTGAGACCAGTCCATGGTCCACACTTTGAGCAGCACTGAAGCTAGCCAGCTGGCTTAGCCTGGAATCTGAATGTGACAGCAGCTAATGGCTATAACGCTCCAGTGTCAGGCCTGTGTTGGGCACTTCCTAATTATGGTACCACCCATCCAAGTGAGCACCTCTGGTGCAGATCCCAGACACATCGCCCCTTCCCTGTGGCTAAGACCCTTGAGGCTCAGAAAAGTTAACTTAGCAAGCTAAGGTCACACAGCTCGAGTGGCTGAGCCAGGACTCAAACCCAGCTCTTTCTGATCCCCCCCACCCCGCCGCCCCGGGACAGAGCCCCAAGCAGTCCAGGGGTGTAGATGGGGAAGAAATCCTGGGAAAAGGGGAAAGAACTGCCCCAAAGACAGCCACCTACCAGACCATCTGAGAACTACAAGTCTTCCCCTATAGCAGAGTGCAGGTCTGTCACCCATCCTTCTGGCTGTTTGTTCCCCTCAGAAGGGATGCACAGGGGGACTGTTCTGCCAGAGCCAGCACTACATGAACCTCTTTTGTGCCAACATGATGGACCTGAACCGGAGAGCTGAGGCCATCGGATATGCCTACCCGACCCGGGACATCTTCATGGAGAACAGTGAGCCCTGGCATTCCTCTCTAGGAACAAAGCAGAGGGGTGTGCCCGCACGCACGCACACACACACACACACACACACAAACACACACAGTAGGGCTGCCAGATTTAGCAAATAAAAATACAGGATGCCCAAGTAAATTTGAACTTCAGATAAACTGAATATATATTTTTAGTATAAGTTTATCCTGAACATTCCCTGGGATATGTGTATGCTTTAAAATTTGCATTTGTGTTTATTGGACACTCAAATTTAACTGGGCATCCTATATTTTATCTGCCATGATGTGACTGCTTCCTGCCCCGAAAGGCTGACCTAGTGATGGAGCTCTGGACTGACAGGCTAGCTCAGGGATGAGGCAGAAAAGGGGTCTCTGAGCAGCTGCTCCTTGGCTTGGGTGTCTAGATCCCTCTACTGACCCTCTTTTTTTTTTTTAAGATTTTATTCATTTATTTGACAGAGAGAGACACAACGAGAGAGGGAACACAAGCAGGGGGGAGTGGGAGAGAGAGAAGCAGGCTTCCCGCCGAGCAGGCAGCCCAATGTGGGGCTCGATCCCAGGACCCTGGCATCATGACCTGAGCCGAAGGCAGACACTTAACAACTGGGCCACCCAAGCGCCCCCTGACCCTGACTCTTAAGGGACTCCCATGAAGGCCCTAAATGGGAGGCAGGACCTAGCCTGGCAGCTGCCTTCTTCCAGCCACTGCACTGAGTACCCACCCACTGGCGGGAGGAGGCAGGGGGCACTGTGCACCCTTGGGCAGTGGGAGCAGGTGGGTCTGGGGGGCAGGCCTGTAGAGGACCTTTTGCTTCCAGTCATGTTCTGTGGAATCGGTGGCTTCTTGGATTTCTACAATCTCCGGTAGCTGGAGGCCATTCTCAACTGGCAGAAGCCACAGGAAGGATACTTCAGGAGGCCTGGTGAGCTGCACTTCCACCCTGGCTGGGAGATTTTATTTTTAAGATTTTATTTATTTATTTATTTGAGAGAGAGAGCATGAGCTGTGGGGAGGGACAGAGGGAGAGGGAGAGGGAGAAGCAGACTCCCCACCTAGCAGGGAGCCAGACTCCAGGCTCGATCCCAGGACCTTGGGATCATGACCTGAGCCGAAGGCAGAAGCTGGTAGGGAGGCTGGTAGGGGGCTGGGTTTCCAGGCCGAGTGAAGAAAGGTGATACAGTGGTCTTAATGGCTCAGAGAGAGATTCTCAACATGTATATGCATGCAAACACACATGTGAACACATGCATACGGAAATGGGCTTAGACCTTTGGAAGCCAAAATTTTGCAGGGCGGGAGACAGTCTCATTGGAAGGTGTTGGCCCCCTGCACCTGCATGAACAAATCTATTGCTTCAGTGAGTATTCCCTGAGCACCTGCTCTGTGCCAGACACTGTTCTAGGCTCCAGGGAATACTAGGGCCCTGAAGAAGAGAGGCAGAAACCATCTAAATTAACCAATAAGTGAGATAATTGCAAGTTCTGATAAGGGCTGTGAAGGAGACAACACGCTGAGAAAGAAAAGAATATGGAAGATGGTTCTTTGGGCGGGAGTATTCAGGGGAGACGTCTGGAGCAGGTAACATAGAAGTAGAGGCAGAGAGGACACAGCCCCTTTCCAGCTGTGTGACACTGGGCAGCTGGTCCTCTTTGCAGTAAGTCACTTCACCTTGCTAAGCCTTGATTTCCTCATCTGTCAAAAAATTAGTATAATAATCTCCTTCCTGAGCTGTGAGTAGACATAATACGTGGGAAAGCACCTGTCCTGTGCATGGTACAGAGGAGGCTCCCAATAAATGCTGAAGCTTGGGATGCTCAAGGAGGCAAATCTTTTGAAATAAGAGCATCTGTTCTCAAAATTGAGGAGTCGATAAAATGCAGATTATCAGGCCCCCAGACCTACAGATTCAGCAGGTAGAAGGTGGGCCTGTGGAACTTGCATTTTTAAGAAGCTCCTCCTGCTGTTCTGATGTGGGTGGTTGGGGGACTACACCTGGAGAAACATCAGTAGATGACATATTTAGGCAGTGTGTAAGGATCTGCAGACAGGCACTCAAGGAACCTTCTGTAAGGACCTCCAGATTCAAGAGAAGACCTGAGCTGCTTGAGGTGTGAGGGGGAGGAAGTTTGGTGAGTAATGTGTGAAAACCCATCTCAAGAAGGTCACTTTCCAACTCTTCTCCCAGCTGCTGAAGATGAAGAATTATCAAAAGCCGTTCAACGCCAACAGCATGTTTTGAGAAGAGTGAAGAGGCGAGAAAAACAATTTACAGGTAATGAAAATACCCGGGGCCTTCTGGGCATGAAACCAAGACACCCCAGAAAGGCTGCACACAGAAGATTGACCTCAGTGGAAATGTACCTTGCCATCCCTTCAGGGCCAGGTCTGGGAAGTGGAGGGGAGGGTAAGAAGTGGGAGTCCAAAGACCTTGTCTCCACGGAAAGGAACATAAAAGTTTCAGCATGTTACTGAAAATCACAGAGATCACCCCCTCTCTGTCAAGGTCAAGTCAGGAAACCAGAACCTGCACCAGGAACTTGAGGCAGAGGGAATTTAATGGAGGGAACTCTTCTCAGAGGTGTTGCAAGAGGTGAACCCAGAAAAGTGAGAAAACCCAGAGATTAACCACTGCAAGAAGCCACTACTCTCCCTGGAGGCAGAGCTGGAGGGACTGTGGAGCAAGGTGGTTGGACATGGAGGAGGCAAAGATGGGGAGAAATACCCCATCTT